CTTCTGGGTGGATTTGAAGCGCTAACCTTTTGGTTGGTAGCTGAGCACTTAACTGTTTGTGCCGTCCAGGGATTGGCAAGTATTTCTAGGTCAAGATGGTTCGAGAAGAACAAGTGACAGAGCTCTCAGGATTAAACCAGACCTGGCTTGATTTTTTGCAATAATATGGCCAGTATCGGATTTGAACTTGCAGCTTTTCCTTTTCCCTATATCCAACGAGTCCTTAGATTTTATTTTGGAAAGGCTCTCTCAGATCTGGCCATTACAGCTTAATCTTTGTGCTCTATCTTTAAACCATGGTGAATGTGCCCCCAACAAGTCTATTGCCTGTGCTTTTTGCCAGACTTGCTCCTTAAAGCATAACCCTAGTTATGAGCTCTGGTGGCGCAGTGGTTAAGAGCTATGGCTGCTAACCAAAAGGCCAGCAGTTTGAATCCACCAGACGCTCCTTGGAAACTCTATGGGGCAGTTCTACTCTGTCCTATAGGGTTGCTATGAGTCGGAATTGACTTGATGGCAACGGGTTTGGTTTTGGTTTTTTGGTGCTAAAAACAGCCTTCAGTGGCTCCCCACTGCCTCAGAATAACACCCCAAACTCCTTCTGTGTGGCATGTCTCATCTGCCACGAGCCAGCTGCACCCTCCCTTTACAAACTCAGTCCGTACTTGAACTTGATTTTTTTCTCTTGCTCTGATCTTGAGCTCCCCACAGGGCTTTTATTTATGCCATCTTTTCTGCCTGTCCCTTGCCCTTCCCTCTCCTCCTTGCCCCTCTCCCCACTTCCCCTAATCAATCTCTACCTCACATTCTTCATGCTTAGCTTCTTTGTGTTTCCGTCTTGTGGCAGTGTCTGGGACATGGTAAGTTTTTATTACATACTGAATAAAATGCTGTTGAAAGTTTTCCTCCCTGTGTGGTACGAACAGTTAAGCGCTCAGCTGCTAACCAAAAGGTGGGCTGTAGGAATGAATCTATCCAGAGGTGCCTTGGAAGAAAGGCCTGGCAATTGACTTCTGAAAGGTCACAGCCGTTGAAAACCCTACAGAGTGCAGTTCTACTCTGAAACACGTGGGGTCGCCATGAGTCAGGGACTCTATGGCCACTGGGTTTTTTTTGTTTTGTTTTGCTTTTCTTTAGAAGGAAGGCCTCTTCCTCCTCTGTTCCTGTATCCCCTTTCTCTCTCCCAGGGGTAAATTCTGTTCTCTGTCACTCAGCTCACTTTTTCTTGTGTAATCTTTGGTATACCTACCCTCTCTCTCCTATTAGATTTTAATACCATCAAGTCAGAGACTGTGTTTGTTCTTCTTTGTATTTTCCACAACTCTAAGAACAACAAGGCCTTGTCCCCACTAGATACTCAGTAAATATTTGCTGATTTGGGAAAATTGCCTCTTCTTAACTGGGAGCTGGCCAAGGAAGGTGGGATGAGAGGCCCTGGATGTGTGCAGAAGCCTGGAGGCCAGGTCTGAGGGACCATTCTGGCTATTGTGGTCCATGTCTCCAACGATGCCCCAAGTTCTGGCTGATTCCCTATGGACCAGAAACGCCCTAGATGGAGTCAGGTGCTTAGGGTCCCATGTTGTTGTTAGTTGCTGTCGAGTTGGCTTCAACTCATGGTGACTCTATATACACCAGAATGAAATGTTAACCCAGTCCTGCGCCATGGTCACCATCGTTGGTATGCTCCGGGCCATTGTTGCGGACACTGTGTATTTTGAGCCTGCCAACCTAGTGGGCTCATCTTCCAGCACTGTACTGGGCAGTATTCTGTTGTGATCTATAGAGTTTGCACTGCCTTCCTTCTTTTTTAAAATAACTTATTTCCATTTATTTTTTTTGTTGTTGCGTATGTACACAGCAAAAACATACACCAATTCAAGTGTCTGCACGTACAGTTCAGTGATATTGATTACATTCTTCAAGTTGTGCAGCCATTCTCATCCTCCTTTTCCAAGTTGTTCTTTCCCCATTAACATAAACTCCCTGCCCTCTAAGTTTTGAATTGCTGTTGTCAATTTGATCCCATATAGATAGATCTTAAAGGAGCACTATGCTCAAGGCAGACATCCTTTTCCAGTTAAGCTAAACTACTGTTTGGTTTTAAGAAGACTTACGGGCATATTTTTGGCAAGGTTTAAAGATTATTTTAGGGCAATAGTTTCAGAGGTTCACCAGGCCTTTTTTCCTAGTCTGTCTTAGTCTGGAAGCTCCACTGAAACCTGTCCACCATGGATGACCCTCTTGGTATTTGAAATACCAGTGGCATAGCTTCCAGCATCACGAAAAACATGCAAGCCACCTCAGTATGACGGGTGGGTGAGTCTCACAGCATGTAGTTATCCACAAATTATCTCCCCGGAATGGTTCAGTATGACTCCCTACTCATTAGCTTTCTCTGACTCCTCTTTTCCCTTTCCAGCACTTGTAAGTACTTGCAAATACTTGTGCTTTATTGATTTTCAATCGTAGAAGTCCCTTACAAAAGCTTATTTAAATTGTGATGTGGAGGAAACTCACCTGTGTGTTGGCAGGGAAGGGAACTAGCTCCGTTACAATGCCAGTTATTTCGTAAAACTATAGTACATGAACACAAGCATGTTAATTCATTAAGTGTTAATGGTAGGTGGTGTTTGAGGGAGAGCAAGCTGAGTTGGAAGATGAGGAGGTAGCTAAGAAGGCTTTTGTCCTGGTTAGTTGCCAGAGTAGACCTGTTCCATAGGGTTTTCAAGGCCATGTGACCTTCCAGAAGCAGATTGTCAGGCCATTCTTTCAAGGCACCTCTGGGTGGGTTTGAACTGCCAACCTTTCAGCTAGTCATCGAGTGCTTAACCATTTGTGCCACCCAGGGACTCGCTGAGAAGGCTAAAATACTTGAAATATTTTCAAGGGCTTTGGAGATTGATAATCTCCCTGGTGGTGCAACAGTTAAGCGCTTGGAAAGGTAGTGGTTTGAACCTACCCGGTGGCTCTGTGGGAGAAAGACCTAGCGATCTGCTCCCATAAAGATTACAACCAACTTTTAAGCATTGTCTGTATGGGATCAAAGTGACAACAGCAACTTGAAAGATTAGGTAGGAACCTTCGGGGGCCTTGAGTTTATGTTAATGCGGGAGGAACAACTCAGAGAAGGAGAATGAAAATGGTTGCACCACTTAAGAATGTTATCAGTGTCACTGAAGTGTACATGTAGAAACAGTTGAACTGGCGTATGTTTTGCTATGGATATTCTCAACAACTACAAAATTAAAAAAAAAAAAGAAAAGATTATAATCAAGAAAATCCTATGGGGCAGTTCTGTTCAGTCACTATGGCATCGCTAGAGGTCCCAAATCAACTCAACAGCACCTAACAACAATACAATCTTTGTGATGTTAATTGCACTAAATTTTATGAGTTTTATTTTCCTTGGTCAGAATCGTCTTTACTAGCAGTTTTCTTCCACTTATAAATGAGAATTTATTAGCAGTTTTCTTCCACTTATAAATGAGAATTAGCAGTTTTCTTCCACTTATAAATGAGAATTTATGTTGGCTGAGACTGGAGATTTTTGTTTGCCTGTTAGCAAGGACTTGTCCAAAGTGGAATTGAGTAGCCAGAAATGGTGAAGAACAAGAAAGGGTAAACTGTGTGCAAAATCCCCTTGAAAGAAGAAAGGTGGAGGGGAGGATGACACATTCGATAATGCCATTCTCCCTCCAGCCACTAGTGGTCGCTATCAGCCCGGGAAAGCTTGGTGGTTGTCTTTTCTGAGCATTTCTGGGGGAGGAGGCAGGGTTACAACTAGTTATTTGAACATCGGGGGTGATGTTAAATACGAAGTGCCTGCATTTCATAGAATTTTGGAATTTATAACTTGCTTTTTAGGGCATCTTTATGATTTTCCATGTGTTAGGCTTCCTCCAGGTAAATTTAAAGCCCTTAGTTGGACAGCCCATTGATTGGGTCTTCGATTTCCCTTAACCTGCCACGTCCTTTACCTCCAGGCAAAAGCCAGTTGGTATTGAGAGAGGAAGTTTGGCTTTCTTTGGCACTGGTTATAGCATTTGGTAGAGCCACTGTTGGGGGCTGGTCAAGTGAGGAGACAGAGTAATGAATTACCTTCCTGGTGTGAATACAAGATCTCTTTTTTGCCTTCTAGCTACAATGCCTGAAAGTCTTCCATTAATGATTAATTCCTTTGGGTTTTGCGTTGCCCTTGCCTAGTTCTTGCTTTTAAAATGTTAATGCCTCATAGGAGAATTTTTGCATTAAGTCATTAACTCCCTTAGCAGGGGAATTAGTTTATTTTATCCTTGACTGCAGCAACTGAGCTAGACAAAGAACATTGGATTCTAAAGAGGAGAGTGGGCACCAAAAATGGGCAAATGGAGAGCAAAAAAAGGGCGGGGGGTGGGGTGGGGGAGGAGGTGGGAGGGATCAGGTGGGAATGGTTGATAAAATACTAACTTTCCAACTATGTCTTTGTTTTTCGTGGCCACAGGTCAGCCCTACCAGAGGTGCTTGTTAAATACTTGTTGAATGAGTGATTAAAGGAATGAACAAATGGCTGATTAGCCATGGAACTTGGGCATCACAGGGTCAGAGTGTAAAGGCACAGTATCTAGGCCGTTTGAACCCTGGAAGTCCCAGAGCAGACAGGAAGTGCTGAATGAGTGGCATGCTTGGTTTTGGTGGACTCAAGCTACCCACCCCTTCCCCAACAACAAGAACTCAAGATATTTGGACCTGGATTAGGGGGAGGGAGGACACTGAAAATTCAGTAAGTTTCCTCCTTTTCCATGGCTAGAAATAGGGATGGCAAGTGGGTTTCATCTTGCTTCCTCTCTGGTCAATTGATAGGGCACCCAGGAGTTCTGTGTTAAGAAGGGTTCTGAAGCCCAGAGGGAAAGAGTCTCATGATCAACTGCCTGCCCTGGTTCAAGATGGGGGAAGCAGCACCGTGTATGTCAGAGTCTGGCCTTGGAGGATTGATTTTGCCTCTTGTTCTTCTTTCTCTAAGGACCCAGCGGGAGCCTGGCCTGGGAGCCAGGATGGCCATCCACAAAGCCTTGCTGATGTGCTTGGGACTTTCTCTCTTCCTATTCTCAGGGGCTCAGGCCCAGGCCCCACCCGGCTGTGGCCCAGACCTCAACCCCCTCTACTACAACCTGTGTGACCGCTCTGGGGCCTGGGGCATCATCTTAGAGGCAGTGGCTGGGGCAGGCATCGTCACTACTTTTGTCCTCACCATCATCCTTGTGGCCAGCCTCCCCTTTGTGCAGGACACCAAAAAGCGGAGCTTTCTGGGGACCCAGGTGTTCTTCCTGCTGGGGACCCTGGGCCTCTTTTGCCTCGTGTTTGCCTGCGTGGTGAAGCCTGACTTTTCTACCTGTGCCTCTCGGCGGTTCCTCTTTGGGATTCTGTTTGCCATATGCTTCTCCTGCCTGGTGGCCCATGTCTTTGCCCTCAACTTCCTGGCCCGGAAGAACCATGGGCCCCGGGGCTGGGTGATCTTCACCGTGGCTCTGCTGTTGACCCTTGTGGAGGTGATCATCAACACGGAGTGGCTGATCATTACCCTGGTCCGGGGAGGTGGCGAGGGTGGCCCTCCGGGGAATGTCAGTGCCGACTGGGCGGTGGCCTCATCCTGCGCCATTGCCAACATGGACTTTGTCATGGCGCTCATCTACGTCATGCTCCTGCTGCTAGGTGCCTTCACGGGGGCCTGGCCCACCCTGTGTGGCCGCTTCAAGCGCTGGCGGAAACATGGGGTCTTTGTGCTGCTCACCACGACCACCTCCACTGCCATTTGGGTGGTCTGGATCGTCATGTACACCTACGGCAACAAGCAGCACAACAGTCCCACCTGGGATGACCCCACGCTGGCCATTGCCCTCGCCGCCAATGCCTGGTCCTTTCTCCTCTTCTACGTCATCCCTGAGATCTCCCAGCTGACCAAGGCCGGCCCGGAGCAAAACTACCAGGGGGGCATGTACCCCACGCGGGGTGTGGGCTACGAGACCATCCTGAAAGAGCAGAAGGGCCAGAGTATGTTTGTGGAGAACAAGGCATTTTCCATGGATGAGCCAGCCTCAGGTAGGCCGGGGAGACCCCCTGCGCCCCTTCCCTCTACACCCGTTCTTTCCCTGCAGGCCAGAGAGCCCGTCTTTTGAGCAAAATTGCAGGTTCTCGAGATTATCCACAGTTTTCTGCCTTAAAGTTCCTACATCCTATTGTTAAAGATCTTTCTTCTATATTCTTGCAGTACATAATGAGTATATTCTCATTGTAAAAATTCAGACGTTACAGATAAAGCAAAATTTCTCCCAACTGCCTTCCCACTTCTCACCCCATCCCGTTAAGTGTTTGAGATTTTACTTCTCTGTGTCTCCGTTTCTTTTTTTTTTTTTTTTTTTTTTTTTTTTTGGTGAAAATACACATAGCCAAAGATACGCCATTTCAAAAATTTTTTTTTACATACACATTTAAGTGACATTGACTACGCTCTTCTAATTATGCTGTTATTCTCACTTAAGATGAAGGCTTACAGGAAAAAATAGTCTCCCATTTGACAGTTAATACAAATGTTGCCCTATGACAATGGTTAACAATCTCACAACACATCAACAATATCCTTACTCTATTTTGTGTTCCCTATCATCAGCTTCCTACTCCCCTTCCGCCTTCTGGGCCTTGTCACTGGACTCCTGTACCTCGTTAGTCTCATTTGGTTTTACGGGGCTGTCCACTCGCAGGCTGATCAGTGAACATCGAAGGTAACTTTACCACTGAGCTAAAAGGGTGTCTGGGGGCCATACTCTCGGGGTTTCTCCAGTCTCCTTTAGGCCAGTAAATCTGGTCTTTTTTTTTTTTTTGTGAGTTAGAATTATGCTCTACATCCTTCTCCAGCTCTGTCCAGAACCCTCTGTTGTGATCCTGGTCAGAGCAGTCAGCGGTGGTAGCCGGGCACCATCTAGCTGTACTGGACTCAGTCCGGTGAAGGTCTTGGTAGCTGTGGACAATTAGTCCTTTGGACTAATCTTTTCGTTGTATCCTGTTCTCTTCATTCTCACTTGCTCCCGAAGAGATGAGACCAGTGGAGTATCTTAGATGGCCGCTCACAGGCTTTTAAGACCCCAGACACTACTCACCAAGGTAGAATGTAGAGCATTATCTTTATAAGTAGTGTCATGCCAACTGAGCTAGATGTTCCCCGAGACCATGGTCCCCAGAGCCCTCCGTCCAGCAACTCAGTCCCTCGGGGAGTTTGGATCTGTCCATGGGGCCTCCATGACCTTTGTGTCTCCGTTTCTTTATTTGAAACCTGGGATAATAATGGTCCCTGTTTCATAGGGTTCTTGTGAGAATTAATTAATCTGTGTGCTTGTCACACGGCGAACACTGTAGAAATATTTCCAGTTGCAACCGAGTCGATTCCGACTCACAGCAACCTTCCTAGCTATTCTCAGTTGCTCTTATTACTATTATTTCACTCTTATTAACCTTCCAGAACTTGTTTTTCTATTATGTACATATCCACGGCCCTTTTAGTTTTCTTTAAAAACAAGCCTTTACAATTAAAAAAAAATTTTTTTTTTTTAATTTAAATAGAAACACTTATGGTGCTGCATATTGATTTCAGCAGGACCCACTTCCCAAATGACTCGTCCCGAAGCTCCCTGTCTGGGTCTTCTGGATGGGACAGGGCGGTCCTGGGGAGCCCAGCACTAGTGAGGCCAGCCAGCTGCAGGGCCTCGGTGGTCCGAGCTGAGGATGCCCTGGAGTCTGAAGGGGCAGGAGAGGGTGGTCATTTTCCTGGCAAGCTCCCGAAGGAAGATGGATTCCCAGCTCATGAGTCTGCCATCTGTTGACCGTAACGACTGCTAGCATTTACTGAGCACCTACTTTGTGCCCGGCACTGCGCCAGGCCTTTTCCTGATGTGTCTGGTGACAGGTGCCTCCCAGGCTCCCTCAGCCTGCTGCCACAGTCCTGCATCTGATATGACCCACAAGGCCGGGTGGCGTGATCGCAAAGCTCAGAGCTGTGACCAGACCCCAGCCTGTGCTGATCAAGATGTTTGGGGGCTTAAGACTTTCTTAACTGCCAGGAAGGCAGAGGCAGTGGAAGTTCCAGAATCAGGACTCCCTGCCTCTTCTTTGCAAACTGTGAGATCCCGGAATCCCTGCCAGGCCCTTGATCTTTGCCCACCTGGGCTGAGGGCTCCCCTCCCCCTCCTCTGGCGTGGGCCCACACAGAGTGGGGTAGGTAGAGTGCGTGGGGACGGGGAGAGGCAGTTGAAGCTGGCAGGAGAGGGGCTTCTGGCCAAGTGTGGGGAAGAGTTTCATTCCCCCCGCCCTACCCCCGGCTCTGCTCTTACCCATTGCCGGTTTATCAGGGGCAGATCGTTCTCAGCCTTTGTCCTCCCAAGGCAAACACTTCTGGGGCCCTGAGTCTGTATGTTTGTTTTTCTTTCCTTTTTTTCTTTCTAAATGGAAAAATCAATAGTGTGCACCCAGCACTTAGGAAGCCTGATATAGGTTGTGGTCCTCCCAGCCGCTGCCGGGCCAGCAGCCCCGCAGGAGGTGGGCATCCGCTGTAGCCCAGTTTGTTGCTGGGCCCCAGGGGCTGGTCCGAAGCTTTCCTCCGGCACCCCGGAGCACCCGCACGGTGGAACAGGTCGGGAAACCAAGGCCCGCAGGCACAGGGAAGCGTTTCTGGAGCTGGAAAGGTGCCAGGGGGTCCCCATGCAGAAGTGCGTCCAGTGCCCTTGGAGAGGCCCTGGGTGGGGACCCCGCACCCAGCTCTGCCCCAGGAAGATAAGCAGGCCTGAGGGGGTTCGGCTGTATTTATCCCAGCACTTGGCAGCCAGCCGGCTGTGATCGAGGCCAGAGCTGGAGGCTGGCCATCTTGGAAGGCAGCCGAAGGCCCGTGTGCCCCTCCTGGCCTCTGGCCCTGGAGGGCGGATGGGGATGTGAAAATTGCTGACAGGGGCATTTCTGGGCTGTGAGGTTGGGTGGGCGGGGGGTCCCGCACTGCCGGGCAGCCCAAGGGGAGGCCAGGCAGGCCTGTGCTCTCCCCCCAACTCCCACTCTCCCTGCATTGCAAAGGGGTGCTGGGCTTTGGGGAGGGGGCTCTCATGCCCGTAACCTCACCCCCAAGCCGGCTGCCTCTGGCCACTCCTGGTGTGGCTCCCTTCCTGGGTTAGTGGTTACACCAGGGTCAGCCTAGCCCACTCGTCCATGCTCCCTGGGTACCCCGCTGGGGCTGTGGGATGTGGGGATGGCACTTGAGGACCCAGGTATCCTCAAACCACTGCTGTGCTTCCTTCCAGCCAAGAGGCCAGTGTCACCGTACAGCGGGTACAACGGGCAGCTGCTGACCAGTGTGTACCAGCCCACCGAGATGGCCCTGATGCACAAAGTCCCGGTGAGTGGTCCCCAGGGCCCGTGACCCTGCTGACGGGGGTTGAGGGCAGTGTGGCGGGTGCAGGCTTGGGGTGGAGGTGGTGGAGAGATGGTGGGGCTTCTCCATCTGGTGCATCGACCGCAGGGCCGGGAGCCCAGTTCTTAATGCCTTTTTCCTGGAGTTGATGTATCCACCCCTCTAGCTCCATTGTGGTGGGACCCGCCTGTATCACTGGGGTATCACACAGGCTGGTCCGGGCGCTGCAGAGAATGGGTGCGGGTGGGAGCTGTCAGCCTTACCTTAAGGAGCTTGGGGGTCTATCTAGACGTCATTCTTGATGCCCCCGGAAGGGACAGGGGATGAAATGCGGCAGGTCTGGAGAGGTATTTAGTTCTCAAGCACAGCTGGTCCCAGGAGGGCCTCCGACTCCCCTCCCCCACCAGCAGACAGCCACGCTAGACCTTTCCCCTCCCCTGGGTTCTGGAAACCAGATGCTCCTTAGCCCAGACAGGAGGGTGGGAACAGGAAGATGGTGGGCTAGATTCATTCCATATATGTTCCTGCCCCTGGGCTGGCAGTCGCCTTGGGGAGAGGTCACTGACCCGCCTTGGCAGGACCCTGGGAACAGGAAGGAGGGAGGTCAGCAGAGTGGCTTTCGCAACCCCCTCCCCCTCCGTGAGCCCCGGGGGCAGCGTGAGCCTGTGTATCCTCAGCTCCTTCCCGCTCCCTGAGCCTGAGCCTGCTGCCGGGGCTGGACAGCCAGGGAGGGCTGGCCATGGCCAGGAGCTGTGGGGGCGGAGGGGTTTCCGAGGGGCAGTGAGCAGAGTCTGCAGCCACCGGGGGTGTGGGCAGCCACAGAACCCTCCCCTAGGTGGCTGCCCCCTCCTGTGCGTACTGATTCCAGTTTCCTGGGGGAAATGATGGGAATTAACAGCTATTTTACTGAGCCCCTAGTTCTCAGAATGCGGTCCCCAGCATCACTTGGGAGCTTGGTAAAAATGCAAATTCTTCTGCCTCTCCTTAGACCTGCTGAATCAGAAACTCTGGGGGTGGGGCCGGCAGCGTGCTGGAGCCTACTGTTTGCATCCCTTCAGGGACATTACCCTGTGCTTGGAACCCGCTGTGGTGGGAGTAATGACCCAGTGGAATTTGCAAGCGCTGTATATCAGGGCCCCTTTTCCCCATCTCCACTTACCAGCCCACCATGGGTAGCTTAACAAGCCTTCCGGGTGGTTCTGATGCACAGCTAGGTTTGAGAACCACTGATCTAGAAGTTCAAGGAGCTGCAAGGGGGTTGGGGATTGCAGCCAGGTACGGGGAGGACCACCTGGGTCTGATTAGACCAAAAGCTGGTTGGGGGCCCTGCAGCTACAGAGGTTGGTGGCAGCTCTTTTCTATAAGGATAAGGCAAGAGGAGAGGGGCAGGAATTCATCTTTCCTCCAGGGTGGGGGCTGGGGCATGGACTTTAGGACCGTCTTCACCCCACAGCCTCTGTCTCTCACCCATGCAGGAGCAAGACCAGATTCCAGGCAGAGAACTCAGGTTTAAGTCTCAAAATCAGACTGCCCAGTCCAGATCCCAAGACAAGGCCCACTCAGAGCCTAACAGAAGGGTGTCCTGGGCCAGGAAAGCCAGCGACTGTGATGCTGCTGGGTGTTGTAGTGACATTCAGGGGGACTTGAGGGAGAATTCTTGGAGGAAGGGAGCCTGGGAGATTCCCAGACAAGTAATAGCAACTCAGGGAGCCCTGGTGCAATGGTTAAGGGCTCGGCTGCTAACCGAAAGGTTGGTGGTTCGAACCCACCCAGCTGCTCTGTGGGAGAAAGACCTGGCAATCTGCTTCTGTAAAGATTACAGCCTAGAAAACCCTATGGGGCAGTTCCACTCTGTCGCATGGGGTCACCGTAAGTCAGATTCAAATGGATGGCAACGACAATAGCAACTCGGTGTGGTTCACCTGCGGTTGGGCCCTGTGCTTTCTCTAAGGAACTGAGAGCAGGAGGGGGCTTGAGAAAAGGGTCCTCCTGTAAAGGCGCAGCCCCTCTGGGAAGCCCCAGGACCCCTGGAGGTACCAGGGGCCTCACTCTGTGACCAAGGCAGAGCTCTCTGATGCAGCGAGAGGTGGGGGGCTAGAGATCAGCCCCGTTTCCAGAGACCCAGCCATCCATCCTAGCTTGCCAGTTGAGGCCGGCCTGGGAGGGGGTGGGTTGGGGGAGCTGGCAGACCCAGCCCCGCAGGAAGCAGCATGTTTGTGCATCCGCCCTGGCGGAACCTGGCTCCCAGCCCCCCTGACTGTGAGGCCGCCTGTTCTTCCTTCCAGTCCGAGGGCACTTATGATGTCATCCTCCCGCGGGCCACTGCCAACAGCCAGGTGATGGGCAGTGCCAACTCCACCCTGCGGGCCGAAGACATGTACGCCACCCAGAGCCAGGCGGCCACCACGCCCAAAGACGGCAAGACCTCTCAGGTGTTTAGAAATCCCTACGTGTGGGACTGAGTCAGCGCCAGGAGGAGGCGGGCAGGTGGGGGGGCCCTCAGATCCAGCCCAGGAACCCCGTCCTCCACCGCTCCCTGCAGCGCCCTTCTGGCTCAGAGGCGGCCAATGTGTAGGTGGGTGTCCTGGGTGCCCCCACCCAATCCTCAGTGTTTGTGGAGCCAAGGAGCCTGGCTTCATGCCAGGGCCACTCTGGCCGTCCACGCTGCAGCCAAATAGTGCTCTTCTTGGGGGTGGCAGCCAGCTGGCGCCTACACTTCTCTGGACTCTCTGGAGAGATTCCTGTGACCCCGAGAGATTTCACAGGCACCTCTGTCCTGGGTCTTGCTCCTCTGTGAGGATCAAGGTGCCTAATAAACACATTTCTGCTTTATTAACCCTTTTCTGGGAATGTCGTTTCTGGCCTGGGTTCTTGGTTTCTGGTGACCCTCTCTTCCACCATGGCTTACGAGTGATTCCTCCACCCTTCTTCCTCCCCTGCCCTCCAAATCCAGCTCCTGTTGATATCTGCTGCTGATTTCACCTTCTCTGTACAATCAAGTAGCGGCCCCTCTACACACAGAAGTCTTTAGCTGACTGCCATGTTGTACTCCATCAGGCTGAACATCCGGGCTCAGCTAGGGCATAGAGTCCCTCCCAGCAGCCGGGCTTGTTTGGGGACCCCTGCAGATTTCCTTGAGCCCCTTCCCCTACATGGACTGTGTGTGGGCAAGGCGTAGGGAAGGCAGACCCAGGAGGAGGGGGTGTGTAAGCAGGATTGACTGATTTATTTCAGCTCCTCTTGAGGGGATGATGGTTCAGGTCTACTAACTTTCCGGTCTGTGCTATTCAATCACGGTGTGTAATCTGTGGAAGGGAATGGCTTAGAAACCAGGACTTGCTTACAAAGCGGGCTGACAAAGGTGGGAAGGAACAGGCCAGCCCCTGATTGGTTTCATTCCTGGGCAATAATAAAAACATGTCCGTTTGCTCGGTACTTTACTACAACCGGTGTGGTGGTTAAGTGCTCGGCTGCTAACCAAAAGGTCGGCGGTTCGAACCCACCAAGCCGCTCCACGGAAGAAAGACGTGGTGGTCCACTTCCATAAAATTTACAGCCTAGAAACCCTATGGGGCAGCTCTACTCTGTCCTATAGGGTCGCTATGAGTCAGAATTGACCCAACGGCAATGGGTGTGTTACTGTAAACAGGAGTCCCTGGGGGGTGTAAACTGTTAACGTGCTTGGCTGCTCACCAAAAGGTTGAAGGTTGAAGTCCACCCAGAGACACCGTGGAAGAAAGGCCTGGTGATCTACTTCAGAAAAATCAGCCGTTGAAAACCCTATAGAGCACAGTTCTACTCTGACACACGTGGGGTTGCCGTGAGTTGGAGTCAACTCATTGGCAACTGGTGTTTGGGTTACTGTGAACAAAGCATTTCCACAGCAGCTTCTTTTAATCTTTGTGGCTGCTCCGTGAGGTAGGCGGGCCCAGTGCTCCCTCCCCTTTGCAGAGTCAGAAGCCCAGAATCGTTCCGTTTTAGAATTAGATGGGGCCCCGGGGGTCAGTTGTCCATGTAGCTCTCCCTCCCCGTCTACAGGTAAGGGACCTGGCCTAGCGTGGCCACACTGCCTCTAAAAGTGGCCAAACAAGACTGGCCAGGTTTTCTCAAGACTCCCAAGTCCAGCGGCCTTTCTCCTCAGCCCGTTTGGAATGGCCAGTGGCCTGGGCTGGAGCCACATTGACTCGTTGACCCCTGGACACCGGCTTGAGGCTTTGCGAGGAGGCTGGGGAGCCTGTCCCCTCCTGGGCTCAGGGATGTTTCTCCCCAGCTCATCAGAAGCTATTTTCTGACACTGCTCGTAGGAAAAAAAAGTTTCTGTTGAAAGGGAGAAGATTCCTGGAAGAAAAATAAGACTTCTCCCAAACCTCCTCTGCTATGCTCAGCCCTCTGGGGACTGAAGAACTGTTTTTAGTAAAAGCCAGTGGCTGGGCCCCAAGCAGAGGGTCCCCCTTTGACTCTTATTCTTTCTGGTTACTTTAGGATCAGTCCCCGCAAAATAAAACGAGATGGTAGCTGCCCTCTTCCCAGGACTGCACGCTGCCCTGATGTCCTCATCCCTCTGGGCCCAGGCTGGCCAGGGCCCAGCACCTCTCCCGCCCTTGTCACTGGAGCTGGGAGGGACCGAGGCCACTGGTCTGAAGCAGCGGACAGGGCGGGGGGCCTGAAAGGGCCCAGCCCCTTCCTGGCCAGCCCCGTCTCTGGGCCCCCAAGTGACTGAGGCTGCAGGAGCGACCTGTAGACTCCCAGCCTGCCTCCCTCTCCCCACGTGACACCCCCAAATCACAGCCCCTGCTGTCTGCTCCTTGACGACAGGAGTGTTCCCATGTGTGGCGCTCCAGATGGCCATCCTCCCTGCTGTGAACGACATGCCTCAGATGCCCCTTCCTTGACTATGGACCCTTCCTGGCCTGGCCATCTTTTGGAGTCCAGCATTGGCTTCTTCTGTTCAGCTGGATCTTCTTCTCCATGACTATTTGGGGCCAAGCTGTTGGGGAGAGTTGGCCCTGGCCCTTCTCACCAGGGCCTCCTGCTAACACCTGGACTGTGGAAGGCCTCTGAGCTGGGGGTGGACACACCGCTTCTCTTTGTGGCCTGTGGGTCCTGGACCTGAGCCCTTTTGGTGCTAGAGCCACATGCCGCTTTGCACCATGGCCCTGTGCCTTCAATGAACCTGGGCTCCACCTACTAGCCAGGGCCAGCCCCGCCTGTTCTGTGCTCCTCACGGCCCCTCCGCATCTGAGGACAGGGACTACCACACTGGTTCCAGCCAGAGCAGCTCTCTCCGTCCAGCACTACCTCACAGCGAACCCCACAACGGAGTTCGGGGAGTTTGCAGGCCGCAGTGGCATTTGGGGCTCGGGGTGCCATTCCGGGGCCCATAAACATTCTTCCTGTGCCCTCTTCTCCCCTTTGCCTTTGGTTTCTCTGCCAGTTTGGAAGGTGGCTCCTGGGGCAGGGACAGATGTAAATAAATGCCCTTGAAGCACCTGGATCTGGCAAGTTCCCGCGAGTGTATGCCTCTGGGCATCCTGGGAGCACCTTAGCCGACAAGCCCAGTGAGGGGTCGGGGCAGCAGTCTCGGGCCAGTTGAGAGTCCTGGACTAGATGGCTTGGGATCTGGCTCTCCCAGGACTGAGGTTTGTGGGACTTGGAGGGGTGCTTAGATAAGTGGGCCCCGAGATTCAAGACTACCATTTCCTGGTGGGCAGATGGATGTTTCTACCTCGTCTTGGGCAGCAGATGCTCACAGGGTACCTTGACGAGCTGGCACTGTTCTTCTTCCCAGAGGCTCCCCTGTGTCCTTGGCCATAAGACATGCTCAGCCCCCCAGCAAAGAGGGTGGCATCCTGGGGACCTGCAGGATGCTGGCCACCAAGGATAGAGATGTGGGTAGCTCCAGACTCCTGGGGAAGAGGTCTCTGTAGCATCCTCTTTCTCTGACATTATCCAGCCTTCAGGCACCAGGTAGAACAGACTTATCTGAGGGGACCCTGCTCAGGTGTAGCCCCTGGAGCTCGAGCTTTAGCCCAGCATCACCTCTGGGTGCCAAGAGGGAGGAAGGGTGACGCCAGCTTTCTGGGGAGGTGAGTTGGGGTGAGGCTGCCCTCAATGTCCCCCTGTAGCTCTCCAACGCCACCCTCCTCTCCCCAGCATCCTGTGCCTCTGTCAGGAGCATTTTTCCGCAGCTAAGTTGGGTGAACAGATCCTGCAGAGCACATAGGACTTTACCCGGCTGTGACCCCCAAGCTCCCATTTGCCTCTCTGTCTACTGGGTCGCTTCTTCCGTGAATAGAGTATTATTTCCCTCCAGCGGCAGGGAAGGGGAGAGCTCTGTGCACCTCAGACTTCTCTTGATCTAGGTTAGCAGCCCCAAGATCATTTACCACGAATAAAAGCCCATCTTGCTTTTCTAGGCAGTAATCTCACGTGAGTCCCTGGCAACGCCACGCAGCCAGGGGTGCCGCTGGCGGTGAATGGGGTTTGTTTATAGCCTCAGCCTCTGGAGGTCTGTGAGTGGGGCTCAGGGAGGGGTGCAGGCCTGGCCCAGATCCAGAAATACCCAGGGGCCCTGCTTCCTCAGGTGCCTGGCCACACGGAGAAGGTGAATGTGTCTTTAGGAGGAAAGCAGCACCTTCTCTGAGGTGGTCCAGCTGCATCACAAAGGAGCGTTAAATGGAAGAAAACTATAGTAGGCTATTACCTGTCACAGGTAATATGACCACACCTTGGTCAATTTCACGCCCACTTCCGCCAAACCGTGTAGCTTGTGGCAAAATAGTTTGGACTTTACCATAACTGTGCTCAGAATTAAATGATCTTATCCTCTGCAGGGGAGCCCTGGTAGCACAGTGGCTAAGAGTTACAGCTGCTAACAAAAAGGTCGGCAGTTCAAGTCCACCAGCCACTCCTTGGAAACCTTATGGGGCAGTCCTGCTCTGTCCTGTAGGGTCACTATGAGTTGGAATTGACTCGAGGGCAATGGGTTTTTGGATCCTCTGCAGGGGAGGAATTCCTAACCCTGTGTGTTCATTAAGAGTTTTCCTGGAATGTATTAATAATATATATTTTTTAACCCAGACCCCCTGCCTTCCAGACCAGTAAAGGCTGTTTGACTCCAACTTACCTTTTTCTTGGAGATTTACTCGGAGGGGGAGAACCAGGCTTTCAAACAATGTTTAGCGGTCAACCAGCCAAGCCCAGAGACCAGCACCGCACACAGCGACAAGGTCTGGAGATGCTGCGGGAATGGGGCAGGAGGAGAGGGAGGACCCGGATACCGAGACCAGAGGATGGTCAATAACCCCCCCGAGTCACAGGGCCAGGAAGAGCGGCCAGGTGCCATGGCCAGCATTCCAGTTGACACATGCGGTTCTTTGCCGTTACTCATTAGCTCCTTAGCACAGCTCATATAATAGAGCAAGAATTGCCCACCTTCACACAGCTAGTAAGGGTGGAATTC